GGCACTGTATTGGCTTTCGGGTGTTCGGAGTTTTTCGAAGAGAGATTCGACATAATTATTATAATCAATAATTGATTCTAGTTCAACAGCAGCGGCTTTGATCTCGTGAGTCATAGACTTTTGCAAAAGCCTCAATCGTGTGGCATCATCCACGTTTTCCTTAGCTAAACGGTCACGCGTCTTTACCAACCATTGAAATTGATCTTCGCCTTTCTGAAATTCGGGAACATGCGGATCATTTTTCAATTGTTTAACAATTTCGACGAGAGCATTTGTTGAAAATGGAGAATCATTAGAATGATATGAAGCTTGAGATGTTGATGGTTCAGTAATATCTGCACCATAAGTGTTCAAAACGGTTTTTATCTTGTTGAGAGATCCAAGGGATAATGGTAGTCCAAAAAGTTCAGAATGACTAAGATTAATGATGACTTCATCATCTTTGCCAATAGTCTTAATGAAAGTTTGAATTTCATTCTCAGAGATTCCATTCATACGTAAATCAGAGATCCACTCAGGGATAGGTTGATTTTTCAATTCACCAACAGGTAAATCAAGAATTTCATCTTGAGTAAGATTTTCACCAAGGAGTAACAAGTTAGTTTTAATAATCTCAGTTAAGCGTTTGGTCGCTAATGAGCGTAAAGGTGGAGTAGAGTTCCATAAATCAAATAGAGAAAGAGTTTCAGTATAATCAATATCTCTAAGAGATTTCTCATCCATAACAATGGATTGTTGTCTTCGCCTTGTAACAACAGGAGTAGGTGGAAGTTGAGAAGGTTGTTGAGGAGAAGTGTGGACAGTTTCATCAGAAACAGAAACATTACCTTGAGTAGTTGTCTTTTTTCGACCTCGTTTAGGACCCATGTTTGAGTTACACAAAGAAAACTAAACACAAAATATCAATGATTGATCGGAGATGAAAGAGAAAATCCTGGTAACCTCGCCAAATTGTGAGGTGAGAAATTTATTTCAATTCAAAATGGAAGAACCAAAATAAACTAAGAAGCGATATCTTTAAAAGATATAGACACAAGAGTTCAGGAGATTAATCTGCTCACTACAGAAACCAAGATTCTTTCAGGATCTTCTTTTTCGGAGATTAATTACTCTATTAATAAGTAATTAGAGATCACTAAGTGATGAGAATTGTGAATAGTTGAAATGTGAGGAACACGGAAATAGTTAAACTATTAGGTTTTATTGAAATTGAACAAAATTGAAAATGAGAACACAAGGTAACAAGAAGAGCACTAATGTGATTACTTTGAAAGTAGAATTAGAACTGAAGAGTTACAATGGTAAACATTAAGATTTCTTAGAAATAAAAAACGGGGGAAAACTTAAAGTGAGATTAAACTTGATTAATCAAATTGGGGGAATAACATAATAGTGTTAATACTAATCCAAAAGAGATGATGAGTTTGTCATCTTTACCATTTATGGTTAACAATATTGTTAAGGGTTGAAGATAACACTAAGTGTTCACCATTGTTAATCTCTTAGGCTTGAAAAAGCGTTAACAATAAAGAAAGAGGAGAAAGAGGAAAATAGACAGAGAAAATGATTCTCTTTCCTTATTGACCAAGATTTTGGTAACTTAAAAAGAGACATCTTTAGATGTAAAAATGACAATTGAATCAGTTAATTGTTCTGGTTAGAACTTAGAAATCATTCAATGATCAATTACATATCTAAGATATAATAAAGGAAAGGTTTACAAAGTTCAGGTAAATGAAAATTAAAGATAAATTGAAAACAAGAATAAGCATAATTAAGCTGAATGAGCTTTAGAAAAGTTAATGAATTGAAAATAAGAAAAATGGAGGGAAACAAATCACTGAGTGATTCAAATATGAGGGTTAATTGGGTTTCCGATTTTTCTACCCTTCAAGAGCTTCAAAATATTAATAAATTTTCATGGGGTCAACTGAACACTTGAAATCCACCTCCAATTAACTGTAGTTTAAGGTCATCATGATTTAGCTATTAGTTAATTTGATATCACGAGTTAAGGGTAAAAGGTAAATTGTTGTACATTTAATTTGATTGCTATATCTGAATAGTTACTTTTTCAATTTGCAATTGAATAATTGATTGAATTAATCTAATCATAATACATGTAATTAAATATTGATGATATCAAGGTAATGAGAAAAAAAAGTTGAATTGAATTAAGTTAATTTAACATTTATTAATCACTAAAAAAACCAATTCAACAATTTCTAGTAATTGTAATCATCAAAAGTTAATCCAATTGCTGGGAAGTAATTATTACGCATTTAAATTGATTATACACTGACCTGGGAACTGAATCAACTAATACTGTTAATATTTATAAATATTAATATATTGATTACTTGAATTGATAACTAATATTGATCATGAAAAAAAAATCAGAATCATGATTTGAATTATCAAAACAAAAATAATTTCAAGTTGATTCAAATTATTGATCGTTAATTAACTTAATCAACTCGTAATTTATTTCACCGATGAGATTTATGAAAATAAATCTATTACTTTAATTGTTGTTGTTGTTGTTGTTACTAGTAATAGTAGATTCATATAATTAATTTACTAATTAACATATAGCCTTAACTCATCACCGTGAAAATTACAATTCATTTAACTAATATTAAACTGGAATTCAGTTGTATCGATTTTGATTAATCAGAAATTAGGTTAATCTTCAGTGAAAGTTGTTAACATGTTTATTGATAATCCATGGAAATGACAATTTAAATTGTTGTGATTTATTTGATTACTTTGATAATCTATTTATTCACAACTATTGATTAGTTTGTTTTTCCAATCAATGAATGCAACCTTGAGCTGTTCATTGTTAATTATCAACAATCAAATAACATTGGAGCAAATAATCAAACTCTTACTGTTATAATCCAATGGCCTAAATTTGGCCCTTGGAGGTGAAATCTTGAGGATGACCTTGAAAATGTTATTTACTTTTACCTAAATAATTACATAAAGTGTTGGTTAAGTTGATTTAATTGGGAATGCTTCTGGGTTGAAACAATTAACTCCCTTGAGATGATTAAAAGGCTTTCCAATTAACTGAATACAATTTTATTGCAAAAATCCTCATGAGATTTTCACCAAATAATATATATTTTATTGTTGTTTTCCTTTCACAATTAAATCAAATCAAGAGACTGAATCAATTGAAATTAAGTCAATGATATAAAGAGTAAATCAATCTCGATAATAATGATTAAGTATCTGTCAAGATTAAGATAATGTTTCAACTTGATTGAATAACTTGATTGTCTCGTTAATCAATGTTGATTGTTGTGTTGACGATGATTAGAAGTGTTTATTTGCCAGGAAGAAAAAAAAGTAAACGTTAATCATGAAAGTTAACCTGTTCAAATGAACCATTAGCATCCTCATCATCATTGTTATCATCATCATCTATTCATGAGCTTTCGCCATTTATTGCATCATCTTATGGACTTGGAATTCTGGAACTTTGGTGAAAATCTTATCTACCAATCAGAATGAATGCTGAGAGAAAATTGTTCAGAAATTCTGAATCCAGGAGAAACTTTTGTTTCTTTTCTTATCCATGGGATCAGAATGATTTTTTCTCCCTTATTATCCATTCATTCAAAAAAAAGGATAAGGAGATTCCAGAGTAATCTTTCCATGAGAGGATTTGTCTCTCTCATCTTATTCCTCTTCTTCACCTTGTCATTCAGACAGAATAGATTGATGATCGTTATATTATCATGATGAATATACTTCATTTGGAATGATAATAATCACCTCATCTTTTTGTCTTTGCTTTTTCACCCAATTCACTGAGTCCATGATTCTTGCATTGAAGATAAAACATTTTTCCTGTATCTTGAAATCTCATGAAATCATTATTGTTTTCATTTATTTTCCCTCTTTTTCATTGTTCACCCGATAAACCATGAGAATGCTGAGAATCAACTAATGAAAATTTCGTCTGTTGCTATGTTTTCCTCTCTAATACAGTGATACTCAGCCTTTTTAACGATAACTTTTGCGATTCTCTCAGCAACTATTAGTCTCAGGGACTCAATACTTGAGTAGTATGAGTTTGAACGATACTCAATTGCCATATCGAAATATAAAGGGCATTTAGATCATCGGTGAAAGAGTACTTTTCAAGGACATCTGAAGGTAATTTCGTAAACTTGTTCTTTCGCTCATGACCTGAATCGCCTTGATTTTTTGTTATGACAATTGAATATCGCTCAAACTTATGCTAATCAAATCTTGAGTCTCTAGGACTCATAGTAACAGAGAAAATTGCAAAAAACATCGGCAAAAATTGCCCTGTATCTTAATTCTCTTCATTACTTGATTCGATTCAGACTCTCGACTATCCCATTTTAGAAATAATTTATCGGAGTTATCATTAAATCATTATTCGTCATGATTCATTGGCCTTATTATTGAGAATTGGAACCGTTTATAACTGACTTTAAGTTGGTTTCGAATTGCTAACTTTCAGTTTCCATTTTCATCACAATGTAATTCGAGCAATGAAAAGTCATCTTTATATTATTCTTAATGATGACCATTACCTTTGTCATTTTGAAGGTAGGACAAGAAAAAAGTTTTCGGTAATCGATAATCAATTAACAATTGTAATCTTCAAATCTATTGGCTGTTCTGAATCAATTAATCAAGTTCTGATGATAATTGTTAGATATTAAGTTAGTAATTTGTATTCTATTGATGTAAACAATTAGATTAAATAGACTAATAAACAATCACAAGTTTAATTTGATCAAGTAGAGACGGAAATTGTAGCAATTCAATGATAACAATTGACAACTGAATTGATTTGGTTGATATAAAAATAAGGTAACATGATTAATGAGAAAATAACAGTAAAATCTTATCAAATCATTCCAATGGATTTTTTTTTCTCAAAAGTAAATTTGATTAATCATTCTGTTGATTGTTATTGTCATTTAATCAAATATTGAATGTCAAAAACTTACGTTGTCAATTCTGGGATTGATTGAATTTGAATCCAATGGATAAACTGAACTGAATTCAACGAAAACCGGAACTACAGTTACTGTCCCTTTGGTTGAATGATGAAACTTTTTTTCATTGGAAATACACAAAGAAAACATGATGATTATCAAGGTGAAAGATAATATTGATTCTGTATTGATTCAGGGAATTTGATTGAACAAACAATTATCGATGCTTCAGATGAGTTATTAAAGGTTATCGTTATTCTTGAGGAAAAAAGGAGAAACCGATAACTTGATCTGAAAAGATTTGGAACAAGTTATTAGAAAGAAAAACAAAATTCAACTTTTGTCGAGATTTTTTTCTTTCAAAACTCTCTGAGTTTCAGAACAGAATTTAAAGTTCAATTACAATTAGTGAGACTTCGTGATGTTGAGATAGAAACTGGACATCACCTTATCATCAATGGACAATGGGTGACACTGTAAGTATACATTCAATATGATAACCGATTCGTAGTAACATTTGTTCAGCTGAAACTCGGAGTAAAATGAAACAACTCATGATCATGATAACGATGATGTAACAGTGGAAAAAAGTTCTAATCAATGAGTCGAATCATTTTCATTGATTTTCTTTTACTTTCTTTCTTCAGCTTGAGATTTAATTTCGAGTTTGTTGTTAATGAGAAATATTTTTTTTCTCATTCTGATGATGAAACTAATTAAGTGATAATCTTAATGAGACAATTCCTTGAATATTTAAACTAAACAAAGAGACAAAGTTAATTGGAATCAATCAATCTTTCCAATTGATCACCTTATTACCTGATTATAAACAAGACAATTTAATTTCTCTGCAAACATCAACAGCAACCATCAAATTACACATTTGAAATTAGAGAGAAAAAATTTTCGTATCTTAAACAATCAAGTTAATTAGGTCATTTTCTGAAAGGGTTAAGTAAATTTGACAGAAAATTTTCATATTCTAAATGTTTTTACCTAATTATAATCATTATAATTATTAATTACAAAAATTTGAATATTTTTCTCATCAAATTAATTCAAACTTTCAGTTTAACAAAAAGTTATTTTGAAAAAGGCGCCAAATTTTGGTGAGTGTTTAAAACTCAAATAAATTGGATTTGAAGCATTTTTTAGTTAATTATACTGATTATGAATTAGAATGGAGCAAGTTATTAATAATTTTCGTTCCATCGAATCCGAAACAATTAAATTGTCCAATTTAATTTCGAGAAAAGAGAATCAAGAAAGTAGTGAGATCTATCGGATGAAAAGAAAACTAATTCGAGTTGAGTTTCGATCAACTAAATTAGATAATTAATAATTGATGAAATTCAATTATTGAATGGAGATTAGTTTGAAAATGTTTTCTTTTTCTTTTTAATTCGAAATTACATTTCATAATTAATAATATAATTATCATTAAAAGCATTGGAAGTACAAAAGTTAACCAACGTCTTTTTGTTTTCATGATTAGGTAAACAAAATTAATTAATTGCTAAGATTGCTATTTCTTATCGTTAATATTATTAAATTCACTCTGAATGTTTTTTTTTTGATTAATCATTTCAACCCAATCAATTGGTACTGAATCGGGTATACTTTTTTTTTGTAATAATAATATTGATTGTGAGTGTGAATCAACAATCTCAATAGATTGATAATGAAACAATAATAATAATATTAAATAGATAAGGGAAACAATAGTAATTAGTAAACAATGAGAAGAGTTAGATTTTTGTTTATCATTACAAATGATTTACAATTTGAGAGACTTAGTTTGTTGTTTATATTGAGAGTTTGTGTGAAAGAGGGAGAGGTTGTAATTGATTACAATTAATTAATCTTTAGTTTCAGTCAACTCATTCAGTTCATTAAGTTCATCGATATCACCAAATCCCATGGTGGGTTCTTGATAGATTGGACGAAGAGCCAAATATTTCAAGATATCGGATAACGAAATCATACCAATGACAATATCTTTATCATCAACAACCACAATCCTATGAACCTGAGAGAGTGAATGAAAAACAAAGCAACAAATTTATTAGTTAACCATCAGTAAATTGTTACAAACAATTGATTAATACCTCGGCTTTGACAATTTTTTCCAGAATAGCATGAAAAGTTTCATTGAGTGTACATTTAACGACTCCTTCAAAGTAATGAGCTCGATGCTCCAAGGCTTTTTTCACAGGAATATCAAGGTTATTATAAGTTTTCTCGGCAGCGAGATTCTGTAATTGTAGAAAAAGAAGAGAGAGAGAGAAAAAATTATGAATAAAAGAGCAAAGTGGAAAAATTCAGTAGAGAAAAAAAAATTCAGTTTGAGTAAAGAATTTTTTTCAGCTCCTCAAGAAGAAAGAGGAAAAAAAATGCTCGCTATTGAGAAGAGGGAAAGAGAAGGAGGAGAAACGATAAGTAATGTTGGCAGGCATCAATCATCATGGTTAAAAAAACAGAGTTCAAGGTTTGCTGAGGTATCGAAAAATTGAGCAAGAGAGAGAGAGAGAGAAAGAGATTAGTAGAGTGAGTAAAGAATGAGTCTAGTTCTGAGTATCATGATCACAAAAGCTTTCGGTTGAAATTCATGGGATGATTTTCATGGTATCCAAGAAAAGAGAGAGAGAGAGAGAGAGAAGATGAAAAAAGCAGAAAAAAGGATAACATTAAGATGTGTGATGGTAGGATGGAGATGATATCAAGAAAAATGGAAGATAGAAAATGTTGAGCGTGAGTAGGTGATGATTAAGAGAGATGATGATAGAGGAAAGGGAATAGAATGGAAATCAAGAATAAGTGAAAGTGATATTCTAATAAATGGATCATTGAAAATGATGATCGAAGAATAAGAAGATGAAAAATACTCACGAAAACATCAAATTTAGCATAAATATCGATAACTCTTCCTTTCTCATCAACAATCGGCAGTGCTGAGACCCGTCTATCAATAAATTGATGGAGAACCGTAATTAAGGGAGTATTCATGGTTGTTACGGCAATGTTTTCGTAAGTTCCAATTCTGAGTTCATGAAGTGACTTCTGAAGGTAACTAGGCTGTGGTATATCATAATACTGTAACAAGAAGATAAGGAATGAGAGAGAAAAAAAAAGAAAGAGAAAATTATTACACAGAACCAGAGAAATGATAATAATAGTATTGTAATGATGATGAAATTCATTCATTGACCTTGGCAACAGTAAGAATCCCACAGAGTTAACAGATAACCAGAATATGATGAATATTTCTGATACCATGAACCAGAAAATTTCACCAACTAATAAGTGTAAATATTGACCTGTCCAGTTGATCTAAATGCATTTCTTAAACTTGTAAATTTTTCTGGTTTATTTTTATTTTTAGATTCTCATCTCATTTTATTTCATATTCAAATGCTAACAGAAATGAAGATCAATATGAAATATTTTCCATCATGATTGTCATTCTATAAGAATCATCATAATCAAGAATAATAACCAAATATTGAATAGTTTCTCCGAATAACATTTGATGGTCAATAGAAAAAAAGAGAAGAAGAAAAAAAAATATTCCACCAAAAAAAAGAATGAATTTTTTTTTCTTCTTTTCTCTTGGATTTACTTACATAGAGAAAAAGAAATCTAAGAATTCGTTTATGGGTTGCGATGTAAAGGACATTTCCAGTGTCTTGGTCGATAACTGGTAACCGATGGACTTTGTTGTGGATTAAGGCTTTAATACAATCGAAAAGACTGTTGAATGATGGAAGATGCAGAAAAGGACAAAAAAGGTTAGAATAAGAAAAGAGAGCAATAAGATGATGGAGAAGATGGAATCAGAAATTGCATTTTCTTTGTTACATGGTAACAGTATTCTGAAAGATTCTTATGTATTCCAACCATTACTTTATATACACTTTCTTTCACTTTCTCTCTCTCTCTCTCTCTCTCTCTCTCTCTCTCTCTCTCTCTCTCTGGAATATTTTTCTTCTATTTTCAGGATGCTGTTTGTTTGTTGTTCTTTATCTTCCATCATCTCCCTCCATCAACTTTCTGAATCGTTGGAAAGTTATTACCTTGCATCAGGCTTAATACTGACAAGAGATGGTGCATTTTCCTTTAAGACGCCTGGTAACATGGGGAAGAAAAAGAAGAAGAGAAAAATATAATCAGTAAAAAGAAATCACAATTAAGATTTGAATAAGATTGAACAATTTTCCCCAAGTAAAAATGGCTGTAATGGTAAAGCTATTAATGTTTCATGAAATCATTTTCTTGGCATCAAAATGAAAATCATCTACTCATCTTTACCCTTTTCTTACTGATGATGAAGATGAAAATTGTTAGAGAAGAGAAAAGAGATGAGTGATTAACAGAGAATTAAGGTGACTTTAAAAGAGAAATTGGTGAAAAGCGACAACCATGTAACGTTTTTCATGGAAGACAAAATAAACTCGAAGAGGAAACCAAATTCTGAGAAGCAAGTTCATCTTCAAAGAGAATAGATTGATCACAAGAGAGTAGAAATTTAAGATGATAATTAAAGACTAATTCTAATTTTATCTAAATTAACGTATCTCTATAAACGAAATAATAATAAAGTTTATAAAATCATTTCGAGTTTTATCATAATTATGATTTAAAGAATGAAGGAATTTTTTTTCTTACTTCTCCATGTTTCCAATTTTTGTTCTTCAAGTTCATCCATTTTCACCAATGGTGATTTATAATAAGTTCGTAGAATATTTATAAAATCGGTTATGGTTAACATCCCGACGAATTGATGTTTGGCACTATCCCATAAGGGAGCTGCTCGAACTCCATTGCTGACCAGGGCAAAGAATGCTTTTTTTACCAATAATTGGGTGTCAAAGACAACTAATTTGGCACTGATTGGAATCAAATCGTAGCAACGGTAAAATTTAAAAAATTTGACGTAAGTCTGGCTTTCATCGCCTTCGAGCTCTTCGAAGTCAAGTCTATCACAGATCGGTTCATTACTCCCGTAGATACTTCCGCTCCTGGAATCACGGGTATCTCTGAAAAGGTAAAGGTGATTGTGATGAGATAGATCAAGGGAACCATCAAGTGATCGTTGAGCACCAACGCTACCACGACGTCGGCGTTCAGGCTCAGTGGAATGACGCCTGAAAAGTGCACCTTTCAATTAACAATAAAAGAAAATAACAAATCGTTAGATTCAAATGGAAACTATGATTTCAAATATAATGACAATTCCAAGTCAAATTCAACATTTACTTATTCATCTCATAGAGATAAAGTTCACCATTCATTTTCTTGTTAATCAATTGTTACAATCAGTAAATTACTTAATCCTTAACCCGTCGCTTAGAGATTAAATAATAATCCTCAAGATTGATAACCTTAACCCTAATGATTAAGGTGAAACCAAATTGTTCACACAACAATCGATAATAATGTTGATAGAAATTTGCAAATTTAAGTCTCAAAAGCAAATAAACGTTTACTTAATGACGATAATTTATTCATATTTAGGTTCAATAATGATTAGTAACATGAAGTAATATAATTAACGATCAACAATTGTGATCAATTTGATGTTTGATAATTTTCATAGATTGTGGAAACTATCAACTTAAATACAAGTAAATAAACTTTCTTGATTATCTTAATTACAAGCGTATCGAACACATTTAATAATTTAAAATAATAATATCACCAATTTGATAATCATAATCGACTCAGCGAAAAGGTTCAAGATCAATAGTAATGATCAAGTAATAGAATTGGAAATAGAAAACAACAATCGAAAGATAACCATAATTAATTAAAGAATAAGGTTAACCTCAAGATGGAAACTGAATTAACAAACAATCTATCTAGAGATTGAGTTTTTCTCCACAGATATTCAGTGGAAAGAAACCACTCAAGACAATAATCAATTCTTTGGGCATTACCAGAGAAAAACAGCCTCAAGGGTCTTCGAAAAAGAGACAATTTAATCGAGAATCTTGATAAAATACTAATACACCTTTCGAATGAAAAAAAAAGAAAGAAATTACTTCTTATAATACTAATATGTAATCTAAGATAATATTTATTACCATTAAATCCAAACAACCATAACCATCGTAATAGTAAATCTGATAAACATTAGAATGGAACAAGAAGAAAAAATCGACTCGAGTTAAGCTTCAATCTCTCAATAATCATGAGAGTATTTTCATCTATTCCCTTTAATATTGTTCATTGTTAACCTTTACCAGTGATTATTTGATGATAATCATCACCATCACTCAAACGATGATAATAATAATCACCAAAGGTACACATAAATACATTAGATTGATAATACAAACGCCTTGGGACTTAAAGAGTAAAAGGATTTCCAGGTAGACACATCAACAGTGTTTATCTATTTCAACAGATATACAAACATGACACATGAAATTGTTAAGTTTAGATGAGATAATTCAGTTGCAGAATAATATTAATGAACCACCAAGACACAAAGACACTGTTAATATATACAAAAACAATCAAGGTGTGTAGTAGTTGACGTCAATGAGGAAAAACCAAATGATCATTACAATTACTAAATTACCATTAACATAATCATTTATATTCCTATGGACACTTATTATTATCTCTTCCTGTCAATTGATTACAATCATTGTTTTTCTCACTGATAATTATACTTTAATTGTAATTGTTAAGGAACAATACAATTAATCCAAAGCTTCATATTTCCCTTAACCATTGGGTGAAAATATGATCATCATTCATATTGATGTGTCTCAATTTACTTGATTCATAAATTCAGTAAATCAAATGGTTTACCTTTGAGAAATATTATTCATTTCTTATAATGAGATACAATTAATCAAATATATAAATTGATTTACATTTTTTTTCCAACCAATTCAATCAATGTCAACAAATCAATTATAACCTTTTTTTTTCATTGTAACAATTTGGTTACTTTTAATATATTCAAGTTAATCTATTGAAGCAAAACAATTTATTTATTGTTAGCTGAATGAACATTCAATTGATTGTTAGTTTTACAAAGCCAACAATCAACAAAATTATCAACAATGTAAACAAAATTAATAAAACACAATTTGAATCATTTATTAAAATCCAGAAAACTGTAACGAAAAGAGACCTTAAAAAATTAATTCTTGTAACAATTAGTTATGTAAACTACTAATTTAATTTGCCGCAATGATTTACAAACAATAAACTAATCATTGAGACTTTTGTTTACTGTGAAAGAGCAAAAGTTTCAATATCATGTTTCTTAATAAATAACCTCAGGCTATTATTTTATTAGTAACTTCAAGTGAAACTTGAAGAGACAGAATTTGTTTACATGAAAAACAAGAACAATTTAATTCTCAACTGAATCAATCAAAATGATCAATGATAATCAATGTGTACAAACTGAATTAGTTTTAAAATAAATTACAAATTGAGTCAAGTGAAATCTAAACGACAAACTAGTGAGTGGAGAAAATAATTTTCTTTTTCAATCAGATTTCATGATGAAAGTTTTTTTTTGAATTTCGAGAAAGCAAAAAGCTCAGATTCATGGGGAGAAAACTGGAAATTGTGAAAATAGAGGCAGAAAAGGACGAGAAATGTTCACATTTTAGTTTTAAAAGGTCGATGAGATAATTCTGATTCCAAAGATATAATAATAATATACATGAGAACAAAAAGAAGAGAGAAAATGAAACCAACTCATCGATCCAAGATAAATCCCTCGAGAGATTTCGAGTTCTAACCATCTATTCCAATTGACATTTTCTTCGTCCTGTTGACGTTTTCAAGCATAGAATTTTTCTCCTCAACGTTAATGATAAAGTTCAATGAGAGATGTGAAAGAAAAAGACAAAATTCGAAACTTTTTCAACACCAATTGCGAATGATAAACTTTTCTCGAACTACGAATCATTAACGTAATCTATTTTCCCTAATAATGAACATCGATGATTTCGTTAATGATGATTACTAACCTTTAGAACACTTTTCAAGAAGAGAACTTGAATTTCTATTATTGGATGAATATTTTCTCATGAAAACATTAGTTTTTCAGTTGAAAACTTATCACTTCATTCATTGATTCTTAGCTAATAATAAATTGAACTTGTTTCCATTCTGATATTTAGACGATAAAAACAACTCATGGTGATAAATAGACTTCACTTTTTAGATTCATTCAGGCTCAGTTCATGTGCATCATTAAATTTAGTAGAAATCATTTGAGTGTAAATTAAATTAGTGGAAAAATGGTAACTATTATCATCAAAATTACTGGGAGTTGAGATAGATAATGATATTCAAATGATTATCAGAATTGGTTTGAAACACCAAAATTGTTCAGAGCTTATGAAACAATCAGGTAGATTGCATCACGATTCTCATCATCATGTTCAATATCAAATTCATCATGTAATCTGATGGATGAGAAACACACACACCAAAATGTAACAATCAATTTTACTGATTGTTACTGTTATTGTTTTCTACTATGCTCAGAATTATCTTAAGCATTATTATTGCTTTTTCATGGTGATTGTTGAGATATAATGAGTTAACATTAAACTTTTGTCCAATTGGAAAAAGTTTCTGATCAAGTTGATTGTTTTTTTCGCCTTCGTTGAGTTTTGATAAAAACTAATGGTAGGATGGGAATGATTATCAAAGTGATAAAAATAACAATAATATTGTTTTTCATTGTAATAAAAACTCAAACAAAATCATCATCATCATGAGAGGATAAAATATATACTGGAGATAAAAGTAAAAGTAAATGGTGATTGGATTTTTGAGGATTCAATTGGAATTAAGAATCTTCATCTTTCACATTTGGGAATTCATTCATGATAATCAATCGTAATCATCGTAAAGTTAATAGTATGTAAACAGACAATCAACAATCAACAATGTCGAGTAAATATTAAGGGGAAAAATATAAACATCAACATGAAATCAGTTAGATGGAAATGAACAAACAACTAATTTAGATGAAAATGTCAATAAGCGGAAAATGTAAGGCGATTCATTGGAATCATCTGATGATGAATGATGATAATCAACGTTAATTGTTACCATTTTGTCTAAATCCATTTAACAAACCATGATTATTACACTGATTAACTCGAGCTTCATAGGAATCACTGTCATTACAAATTGTTGATAATGCTATTACGTTAAATTAGCAATGGTTTTTGGTCTTGATTTATTATTACCAATTGATTTGACAATCAAAATGAGAATCACTTTTATCAAAATCTTGACATGTTGGTCAATCTGTATTGGTCATTTATGATTAACCAGAATCATTGATTAAGTTGATTAAAAAGGCAGTTTGTGTTTACACACAAACTGCAACAATCAAGAGATTTAATAACAATCAAATTGTTATCAGCTTCTGTTTTTTTTCTGCTGCTTTGAGTGGATAATCCAGAAAGTTGAATGAAAATCTGATGAATCTGATTCTATGTCATGATAATACCAAAACTGACAATTTAATTCATGATTGATAAAGATAGAGGATTGTAGATTGTCACTGTTTACATAAGATAATCACAAGAATATTCTGAAACACTTGCTGATCAATAATGTTGAAATATCAACTTTATGAATATCTTATCATGAAAATCATGATTTAAAATTCAGCTTGGAAAAGATAATTGAAATCACAGATTCGAAGCAAGGAAAATATTATCATTTGGGTCAAAAAAGATCCAATAAGATGTAAAAGGATAAAAGAAACGGAAGTTAAGCTCCTTTCTTTCTAGCTTTCTCTCTACACCATCCTCATCTTTTCCGTTTCCTTTTCTCCTTTTGCAATGGAAATTTTCAACTCTAAAAAGGCAGAAACTGTTATTGTTTATCATCTTGCTCCCTTTATAAGGAGAAGCTAAGATGGTGAACAAATAAGAGCTATTATTTGGATAACAAGAAAGACACTGGATCAAGTAAAATCCATCAAGATAAGATACAAGGATGAAGATGCTAACGGAAAAAAAGTAAAGAAGATTCTTAATTCAAGATATAAAACGGAAGTAGTAGCATCAATAATAAAGAAAGAGATAAATTTGATGAAGATCGTAATGAGGATCATGATGAAGATGATAAATGTACCCATGAAATCATTGAATAGTTTT